ATCTGCTGGATTCGCCCATCCCAGTAGTGGCCTTCAGCGACCAGATTCTTGCCCTATCTACTTCGGACATGCCAGCAAAATCGCCGAAGTAGGCTGCAGCACCTTCACGGTTCTGACCCCATATGAGGTCCCAGATGTGATCTGGGATTGGAATTCGGGGGCCGAGAAACCCATCTCTCCAGATTGCAGAGTCTGGAAAGAAGGAAAGGATGACGATGGAGCTTCTTTAGCTTTGGATGGCTCAGCATCATCCTTCTCAGAAGAGTCAATTACTATGACCTCTTCTTCTTCAGGGGTGAGGACGAAAGCCTCAACCTCTCTTGCAATGTCTGCCGTGAAACCCTCAGCACTGGGCATCACGGCATCTTTATTCTTGTGCTCAGCAGCACTCTCCTGAATTTCTTCTTGGACCCCTCCCTTAGATTCGGGAGTTCTCTGATCCACCTCCATCTCAGGAGGTGGCGGAGGGGTCTTTTGAGGTGATTGGGGTGGTGGCCGGGGAACCCTCGGCGATCCATTGCCTTCCTCAGGTTCCCTTATTTCAACGCCGATGGTCATCGGCCTCCGCTGAAAGTCGTGAGGGCCGATGATGGCCATTCTTCGGCGCTTTTTCTGAAGAGGCTGTTCGTCCATGTCTGAGTCTGAAGACTCTTCTTGTATTTGGTCTTCGGGACGAACAGGGGCTTTCCCTTATCTGTGTCTGTTACTCTCTTCAGACTGTAACATACAGGGGGGAGGAAGAATGTGAGTACAAAAAAAAAAAAAAAAAAAAAAAAAAAAGAAGAAAGACAAAGTTAAGTCTGAAAGCTCACCGAGGTCTTCAGCAAAGCCTCGTCTTCTTCAGCTGCCCTAGCTGCAGCTTCTTCTTCAGCAGCTCTGGAGGACCCTTCTCCTCCTTCGCAAGCTTCGAGAACCCGTGCAACCTCTTCGGCTGTACGGGCAGCTTCAGCTTCTTCGTCCAGCAGCTGAAACCAGGGGTCTCTCTTCTTCCACCAAGGCTTCTGCCTCTGATACAGAGCAACAGCCTCAATTTGGAAGTGGGAAGAGTCTAGATGAACTTCCCTATGCCTCGGTTCAGTGATGGATGGGGCCCGTTCAGTTACAACTCGTTCTCGGTTGACACCAAGACGAGCGTAGTTAATGCCAACGTTGGTCTCGTCCCGCTCTGAAAAAGAAAAGGGGAAAGGTCAGTTCAGATAGGTTGGCACAGCATAAAAAAGCGAAGTGAGAGAAGAAAAAGAGATAATTAAAAAGCCTCGGCCCCAGCCGAAGAAGCTTACCATCCTTAAACTTTCGGCTGAGGCCAACAGCTGCTAGCATGTTCTCTTGGAAAACATAATGCGTATCGGGGAGCCAAGTCTCCGGGATATGCTGCATTCGGCCGCTGCCCCCCGGTTCGGCAGCTTGCCGAAGATATGTTGTTGATCAAGGTTCGGATCCGGCCCGTTATCTGCGGGGGGACCTAGACTTCCCATCTCGGGATCAGGCTCAGCAAGGTACCGGGGAGCGCTGAAGACGTAAGGGTGGCCCGGATCTGTGGGTACCCTAACCCAAATCCATTGACCTCTCCAGTCCTTGTCTGAAGAGTCGTTCGGCCACATGGTTAGGTACTGGGGCCGGGACTCAATCCGGTACCACCCAGAACCATGGCTTCCGCGCCCACTTTGAATATTTGGCACTAGCCGATGAAGCTTTTTGAAGCAGTGCAGGTTCGGCACATACTTGAAGAACTTGCAGACCCATAAGTATGTCATCACCCTTCGGATGCTGGTGGGCGTTAACTGGCATAGGGAGATATTGTAATGGATCAGCAAGTCTCGGACGAATACGTCCAAAGGGAACCTCAGCCCGTACTGAAGCTGTCTTGTGTACACCCCCACATACCCTGGGGGTGGACGATGGATTCTATCGGATGCCGCGGGCATTCGGCACCAATACCCATCAGCTTCAAAAATGTCGTAATGCAACTCAATTTGCTCGGCAAACCGATATTGTTCGGCATTCTCCACCCACCATGAGTAGGGGCGGTTCTTTATCATGGCCGAAGCTACTTCGGCATTCTCCCACTCTGAAAACCCGGGGAGGATATCCCAAAGGACAGCGGGAACTTCATCGTCCCGTCCAGAAGCGCTCGGCCCCTCCGTTCTCTGAGGAGGAGCCGAGGAAATTGGAGTCGCCCTAATCCCTTCAGCAGGGTCAGACTCTGGCCTTCGTCCATTCCAGGTCCCAATCCTGTTCCTAGGATCGGGAATTGGCCTTGCTCTTCTTGGAGCACGGGCTCTACCTCTAACTCCTCTTGCCATTGATTATTTCGAAGAAAAAAGTCGAAAAAAAAGGGGAAGGAGTTCGAATTCGAAGAAAAATAAACTGAAATCAAAGGAATTTACCTTAATCTGAAGCGAAAGTTGCCGATTTACGAGTTCGTAGTGGCAAGTCTCAGTTTCTAAGCTTAATGCTCGGGGAATTTGCGAAGTTTTGATGCGGGTTCTTGGTTTCTCTCGAGAATTCTGGGTTTGTGTTGGTGAATAAGTGAGGAGAGATGACGCGCCTTTGTTTATATCTCCAGGAATGGGATACGAGGAGTCCGCGTTTCAATTTCTCTTAAAATACCCCACTAAGTAACCGTTAAACACATGATCTTGTGATTAAACTGCCCATTATCCGTCCAACTTCCACAATCATCCGCCTTAACCGTTGTTATCTCATTAATTACGGTTTAAATTCAAATTTTTGGATTAATTAAATCATTTACTTCCCTCCTTTTCTGAATTAAGTCAAACCCGACCCGTCATCCTTCCAAATCAGGTCTGGGGGGCAAGTTGTTTGGGTCCAATTTAGTCCAATTGTGCCTAGGCACTAAATGATCCAATTAAAAGCCCAAGGTCAAGGTTCAACTCTCCAATTGTGCTAAAGTCAAACGTCAGCCCTCAAAGCAAGCCAATTGGGCTAAGGCCCAACCTCTCCATGTATGAAGAGGTATAAAAGCCATCAATATTCATACATTCATATTCATTCATAGATTCATACATTCTCATATATTCAAGCAAAGCCTCAAGCAACTAATTCTCTTGCATAGTGTTCTCTTTCTACACATTGTACTGACTTTAGCATCGGAGGGGCCTTCCTCGGCAACACCCCCGAGGCTAGTTTACGTGTGTTTACTGTGCAGGAAACCTTCGACCCAACATAACTTGGACCGAATCCAGTCTTCTCCGTTTCAGCGGACCTTCGGCAAGGTCCCATTGTTTTCACCCGAAACAGCAAGTAGCTGTTAGTTGCATAGGTGGTGAATCTATCGGTGTTGTAATTTTTGATGGTTCAGTACTGGTGGACGTGGTGGTTGTAGATGGTGGTAGAGGTGATTGCGGCTGCTCCAAATCTTTTTTCTCTTCCTCTTTCTTCCTAAAACGATAACCTTTCCAACAAGAATACGCGAAAACTAAAGCAAGAACCACCATTATAACTCCACCTATTTTCCATTCTTTTAGCCTTTCACTATCCATATTGTTTGATTTTTAATGTCAATTTCATACATTAAATTAAAAAGTTTGAATTAGAACTTATAATGATTTTACCTGCATGCATAATGGTAGGTTTCCATTAATACGAAGCATGTACGTGCAATCAGTATATACGAAAGATTTTGATTCATGCATTTTATTTGCCATAAATTTCTTATGAAATCTATACATATATTTTGTATACATTCTTATAAATATTACCTTTATTGGTTCAAGTTTTCAACCATGCATTGAAACCCCTTGGAAGTTTTTTTACTTTTATTAATTGTGTTTATATACGGCTCTATTCAAACAATATACGGCTCTATTTTATTTATTTTTTTATTTTTTTAATAGCATGCATATACGGCAATATTTGATTCTACTCCTTATAGGGAAAAAAAATTTTAAAAATGTAGATTTTCCTCAGTTATAAAGAAGTTATGTAGAAATTAAGTTCAAAAAAATTATATATTAATCGGAAAAATCTTAGTGATATATGATTATATGATCATCTTTCCATTTATTATTTCAGAGTATTACAGAGAAAGGATTAGGATTTGAGGGAAGTTGGTAATGGATGAAGAAAGAAATTACTAACGAGTAAATAATTTAGAAGGTTTTTTTTTTTTTTTTGACGGAATAATTTAGAAGGTTAATATATGGTGGAGTGTATAAAATAACATAGCCAAAAATACAATATTAATATTAACATTTAAATTACCATTATATAGTTGTAGGTACAATAATGGGGTTCAATGGTAATGATTGAAATCTCATGAAATAATAATAATAATAATAATAATAATAAAGTTATTATCTGTTAAATATTTCTGTAATAATTTTACCAACTTATAACTTTTTTATTTCAAAAAATCTATTAACTATTATTAAAATAGGTTATACTTACATTGATAATTTTGAACATGTCGCTATCATTAAAAAATCATGCATCTGTAATATGATGTATACTATTTTTAGATATGGAGTACTTTCAAGTTTCAACAAAACTAATCAAAAATAATACTCCGTGTATTTTTTCCTCAACTTGAGTACTAGCTAATAATTTTTGTCTTATTATTTCATCTTTCTTATATGCATTGCATTTGTTTATTCTACCTGAGTTGCTTCTTTTTTATACTTCGTATTGTATAACAAATTAAATATGAGAAAAAGATTATTACTATTGTACATCGCACGGGCACTGATCTAGTATGATACTATTAGCTAAACAAAGCCCATGTAAAAAGATAATGTATACTAACATCACGTACAAGTCTAACATGGACAGACGATTACATCCTAAAACCAATTAGGCAATTACCGATAGGAGTAACTCCCATCACTCCATGAGCCAGAGATTATATTTGGGTGATGCTAGATTGCCAGCATTACCATACTCTTCGTCTTGTCCTAGATGGCTAAAATGTACTACACCAATTATATCATCAGCTGGAAATGCATAGAATGTAGTCTCTCCTGGATAGTAAATTCTGGATATTAGGAATTAGATATGATAAATTTCTAATGAAGTAAAAATTTATTACAATTTCTCATAGGAAGACCAATCACCACATCATCTTTAGATTTTGTGTGAATTTCATCTGTTTTAAGACAATTGAGAGTATGATGCTGAAAATTTTTATGCTTCACTAATTCCTATTATTACAAGGCTTTTGCCCCCTTTTGATCAATAAGCAGCTCAAATAACTATCGTAATGAATGTTCACTTAAAATGTTAATCGAGCAAATAATTTCTTCATGATGTCATTCTTCAGGTGGTTTATTAGCTGCATGCTTGCATGCAACTGACTGGTTTCGAGATTTCAACTCATCTCCTGCAACGAGAAAAAAAGCTGTGTGCCTGGGAAATACGCAAGTCATCAGAATTGATAAGAAAAAATAAATTGCATGTTTGACATCCAGGAAATTATATGTTACCTGAAGAAGTTCATCATCTTAGTTTTTGAATCAGAATCAATTTTGGGAGTAGTGTCCAGGGCTTGTTGCATATGATGCAGCCACCTTTCAGCGGCTTGGTGAGTCACTGAAAATGGCCTGTGGCGTGCTATCAGTGCTGGATGACCTGAAACCAAAGGTCTTTAGTTTTAATAAATTCAGAATACCGGCAGACATCAATTATACGCAAAAAAAAACTAAGTAGATGACCATGATTCCATACAAGAATCCCAGAAGATGAGAACACATTTTGGTTCCTAAACCAGAATATGAGAACACAAGGAGAGTCCCAAACATCAGCGAACAACAACACAGAAGTGACCCTGTATGGTGACAATGCAAACAATTGAGCATGTATGCTGATTTGTCATTAAAAAAAAGTTGTGCACTATGTTGCACTCAAAAACAGTCATTAGTGATCGAAATTTTTTTAAGCTGACAGAGCTCCATTCGTAGAAAGGGGCAATGTCTAAATAGAAGTACAAGATGGAACCAAGAATATTTTAAGCTAAATGTTTTGATTGCGTTCCAGAATTTCACAAGGGACTTTGATGACTAATGTCTGGTGGCAACTGTCAAACAATCTATGCCTGCACAACACTTTTAACCAATCCAACACTTTTTAGACAAAGTACATCAAATGTGTAATTATACAATATCCACTAGCTAAGATTTCACAGTTCCTTCACGTTAATTGAAAGGATTAAGGGCTCAAACTAATTGCAATCAACCCACAAGAATGAAGAACATGCAAGTACAATAACTAAGAACAACCATGAAGAAATCAAAGCAAATAAAAAAGAGACAAAGTTACCGTGGGAAAACCCGAGAACCGGGAGAAAAAACCCACCTTGCACTATGGAGTAGTATTGATGATGAATGAATCAAGATTACAAGCATGAATTGTATGGAATTCCAATGCTCCTCACAAAACCTCTCATAAACCCTCTCTTAGTGTTTAAAGTTTTGTGTAATTATTAGAGAAGAAGCAAAACAAAGAATATATATAGTCTAGGTAATAAACGACAATCCAAGGGCTAACAATTAAACAAGAAGCACGGGCTGAAATCGAGCCGTCGAAACAGAACAGCAGGGGGTTCGGCCGAACCTACCCTCTGTTCGGCCGAACTTGAGGTGGTTCGGTCGAACCCCCTTTGGTTCGGTCACTCCTCCAAATTTGCAATTTTTTCTCAACTCTCTGCCTCAAGGTTCGACCGAACCTCAGAGTTGCTTGAACTATGTTCGGTCGAACTTCCTTCAAAAAATTTCCTCTTTAATTCTTCCTTATGCCTCCATATATTGATGCATCTCCACACTAATCCTAACATTAATAATATAATCTGGTTGTTGGGATATGACTCGAGAATCAATTGGGGTTTGACAGAGAAGCTAAGGGATGAATTGCTTGTGATAAGCGAAGAAGTGAATGGGTCAACTTCAACTGGGCCTATCTCTCAAACTACTTTGAACTTTGAGATGGTTCAATTGGAGGTCTAAGCTTGTTTCAAGAGCTTTACAATGGTCATAAGCTTGATTCTTATAAGAAACAAAAAAGTTATAGCTATTTTACTATGATCTCTCTGTACTGACCCAAACAGGGGCAGGGCAGCATGTCCGTGCTGCTAGTGTCCAGAACCATCAATAGCTTCTGTTTTATCTAGGCTAGCACTTCGTGCTGACCTAATACTCTGATCCGCTATGTCAGGGATACAAATTGAGAGAAGCTTAATGAGAGCTAGGGTTTTTGTTTCGTAACCCTTGTGCTTTAGAGTGGAAATTAGTGAGAGATTACTCTTATAGACACTAATTGAAATCAATACAACAATTTTCCTTGCTTTGGGTGGGTTTTTTGCTTGAAGGAGTTTCCCACCTTCCAAATTCCTGTCTCATTTACTATCTTATTTCTTGATTGTGCTATTTGCTCTTTGTTAATTACTTCAATTATCAGTCTTCAAAAAAAAAAGAAAAAGAAAAAAAAAATCAATTATCAACCATTTGCTCTAATACTGGTATTGATCACTTTGACAAGTTAACAACCCGTTGGGAGATGTAGATCACAAGGCTCAAATGGAAAGGGAAATGGATTGTTGAGCATTTTCAACGAAAGAAGAATAACAAAACAAACATCAAAGATGTACTACCAATTCTATTAACCATGCACTTAAAAAGAAAGTGACTCTTGCAGAAGAGTGGATCACAATTTCACACTCTGAGGTTACTTTGACCAATAATTTTTTTAACTTATACTCCCTCTAAAAAGCTCTTCTTGTTTGGACATGATTGTATCACAAAAAAGTCAAAACAAGAACATTAAGAGACAGAGGAATTATATAATAATTAAGTAATTATGTAGTTTCTATTTATAATTTCCATCAATGTATCTTTTGAGAAACATCCTATCACTCTTTGAAGCTATAATTTAATTTCTAAAGCTCAGCAAGTGCTTCACCTTCAAACAGTCAAAACAAGTGTTTGATAGTTTTCTCAACAAAAAAATAAAGACGCTCAGCCTCCTGACCTTGTCCACCAGAAAACAGAATAACATCTCTATCATACAGACAACTAAATCAACACAAAACGATCGTTTCATAGATATGAAAAGCACAATTTGTTTACTAAACAAAAGCATAGAAAGTGCAACTTCTTCCAAGGAAGAATTCTGTATTTCTACTTCTAACACAACAAAGAAAGTGGCTTACCTAATGACCAAACGACAAATTGCTGATACAATCAAAATGTCTTAACACCTTTTCTAGTTTTCTTTTTCACACTTTCCTCTAATAGCCCCATACAAATTGCAGAACAAGCACAACACACAACTAATACACCGGATACGAAATCTCAATCCGAGCATGAAATCAAAGCTAAGATAATAGTTTTTACAAGGACAAGGCTAATTTTTGTGCATTTTGTATGTTACTCAAGAAATTCAAACAAAATCATTAAAAGAAGACCAAAACTTTACACCAAAATAGACCAAAATGAACACATTGAAGATTAAATTAAAACAAAGCAAGTAATTAGGAAGGCAAATCAGTACCTCTTCTCTGAGAAAACATAGGTGGGCCACCCATTCTCTGAACAAAGAACTCATATTGATTCTGAATTGCATCCTCTTTCTTCGAATTTGCAAATATCGATCTAAACCATTCTTCTTCATCATCATAAACCCTATCATCATTAACCAAAATTTCCCAATTCAATAAGTTGCAAATTTTCGAGCAAGAACACATAAACAATCAAAAAACCCCACATGTAAAAGTTGCAAATTTCCCTCAAAATACCAAATAAGTTGCTAATTTAAAACCCAATTCAATAAAGTTGCAAAAATTTTGAGAAATTGATCAACAAGAAAACATTATTAATCAAAACCCAACTCAAATATGAACTAAAATAAGAATTAGAAACTGGTATAGAAATCGCTAGAAAGATCAATGAAAGTTTGAAGGCCCAATTTTTCAAAAAGATTGGTGTCATCAATTCCAAAAGCATCATCAGTATTAATTCCACTGTACTCGGAAGCCTTCTGCTGAAGTGATTGCATTTTTTTTTTTGGGCTATTTTACAAAAAATTCAAGCTGATTGGGATTTTGGGAAGTAATTCTTGAATAAATAGCGTAGGATTGAAATATTCTTATAAAATAAGTATGAAATGTGAATATGCCTTCATTTATGCATGAAGCATGATTCATGATGGTATTTATGAGTTTATGTATTAGGGGGGAAAACTGTGGGCTGAATAGAATATTTGATTGAGGATTTTTTTTTTTTTTTTACAACAATTTGATTGGGAGTTAGCGTTAAAAAGGAAGGGGAATTTCAATTGATTATGGAGACATGGTGAGGCTAGTATTGTGCAAAAGTTCAAAGTTTGCGTTTTAAACCGACCAATCACCAATTTGGCAACATCACTTATTATGGTGGAGGGAAGCCCATAGATATTATTCATACCATATACTGACGTACAATCTCTATTTAACAAGTAATTTTTCTAAATATTGCTTAATTGTAAATTAATTCCCTATTTGTATCAGCTTAAGAACTTATTTTCACAATAATATTAACGATTGGCAAGAATTTAACTCCAAGATATAAGCTTTTTCGACTATTTTATGTATTTTTTGTAGATTTTTTCACTCCATTTTACAAAAGGGTTTATGTTGAGCTCCAACGGTCCATAACAGAAATTCTTGAATAATTATTTTTAATGTTATGAAGTTGATTTTGATGTTGTCGACAGTTAGTGAAGCTACCATCTAAGTATCTAACCCTATTATTATTACTATTATTATTATTATTATTATTATTATTGAAGCAACCATCTAATTCACATTATCAATTATGTCATAAACATGAAAATACATGTGTATAATAGTGAAACACAAGATAATTAAAAAAAATATAAAAGACATCATAAATATCAATTACATATAATCTCAAAGAGTAATTAAAGTAGTAGTACAGTGTAACGCCCAAGCTACACAGTACACACAATTGTAACATGAATACATGAGTGGTTATGTAAAAGATAAAGCTTTAACAAATTTCTGCTAAATCAAATCATTTGGTATTAAATTGTATCTTCCTCTTTATTTCAAAAAAAAAAAAAATTGTATCTTCCCTCTCTTTATTCACTGGGTATGATGAATTTCATCGGTTGATCTAAAAATTGTATTTATTTTGATACCAAATTGAATCAAAATTTCTAGTCACATGATAAAATAATCTTCAATGAACCAATCTCTAAGCTTACTGATGAGGGAACAGTTGAGAATTTCAAAGTTTTTGAGGGAATGTTCAAAGAATTTGTGCCTAGAACAAGGGAAGAAGGCACATACAGCTGTAGTAAAAATGGGTTTTTGGTCTGATATGATAATAAGCAATGATCTTGTAGATATGTACTGTAAATGCCGGAGTGTCGACAATGCATATAAGGTGTTTGATAAAATGCTTCAAAGAAATGTTGTTTCTTGGACAGCTCTTATATGTGGGAGTTTACATCAGGGTGATGATGCTGAAGGTGCATTGTCCCTTTTATATGAGATGACTTTTTCTGATGTTAGACCAAATGAATACACTTTCTCTGCCTGTTTTAAGGCATGTGGTCGTTTGGGTATCCCTGAGAAAGGGATGCAAGTTCATGGGTTTTGCGCGAAAGCTGGGTATCAATGGTTTCCTGTTGTGGGTAATTCTGTTGTTGATATGTATGCAAAGTGTGGAAGAATTAGTGATGCAGTTCAAGCTTTTGATGAAATTGGTGTGAAGAGTCTCATTGCCTGGAATACTATTATAGCAGGGTACAGTTCTCAGGGAGACGGCAAGAGTTCTGTCAAATTGTTTCAGGAGATGCAGAAAGAGGGCATGATTCCTGACGAGTTCACTTTTACGTCTGTCCTCAAAGCTTGTAGTGTTATTGGGGTAATTTTCGGTGGTACTCAAATCCATGCTGCCTTGATCACAAGAGGATTTCCTATTTTCGCCCAGACAGCTCTTGTAGGTGCACTTATTGACTTGTATGTAAGGTGTGGATGCTTGGTTGAAGCCCGGAAGCTATTTGATCTCATTGAAGATAGAAGTGTTGTATCCTGGGCTTCTCTGGTTTTGGGTTATGCACAAGAGGGCTATTTTATGGAGGCTATGGACGTGTTTAGACAACTTAGAGAGAGCAACATACAGATAGATTCATATACTATGTCAGGTTTAATTGGGGTCTTTGCTGATTTTGCTTTCGTGGAGCAAGGAAAGCAGCTTCATGCTTTTACTATTAAGGTTCCTTTTGGTTTAGAACCAGAAGTTGGCAACTCAATTGCTGACTTGTATCACAAATGCGGTTTGATGGAAGAAGCAGAGAGATTTTTCAGTGAAATGCCGGTGAAAAATAGAGTTTCGTATACAGTTATGATCACTGGCTATGGGAAATATGGTCTAGGGAAAGAAGCAGTTATTCTTTTCAATAAAATGCTTTCAGAAAATGTAAGGCCTGATAGGATAACTTACTTGGCTATCCTATCAGCTTGTAGCCATTCAGGGCTGGTGAAAGATTGTGAAGAATACTTTTCTATGCTGTGCAATGACCGTTGGATCAAAGCAGAGGTGGAGCACTATTCTTGCATGGTCGATCTCCTAGGTCGAACTGGGCGGCTTACTGAAGCTAGAAACCTCATAAGCAGTATGCCAATGAAACCAAATATAGGTGTGTGGCAGACATTGTTGAGTGCTTGTAAAGTTCATGGGGACTTGGAACTCGGAAAAGAAATAGGAAAGATTATCTTGGAGTTGGATGGAGATAATCCAGTCAATTACGTTTTGATGTCAAACCTTTATGCTAATGCTGGCTACTGGAAGGAGTGTCAGAAGCTGAGAGAAACAGTGAGGAAGAAGGGGTTAAGGAAAGAGGCAGGCCAGAGCTGGGTTGAGATAGACAAAAAGGTCCATTTCTTCTATGGAGGAGATGATACACATCCACTCACTGATAAAATCCACGATTTGTTGAAAGAATTGGAGAGGAGATTGAAACAAGAGTTGGGTTATACTCAAGAAGTAAGATTTGCATTGCATGACATTGAAGAAGAGTCTAAGGTGGAGAATCTGAGAGTCCACAGCGAGAAGCTGGCAATTGGACTGGCACTATTGTGTGATGGAAAGGAAAAAAACACTAAAGTGATAAGGGTTTTCAAAAATTTGAGGGTTTGTGGCGATTGCCATGAGTTCATCAAAGGTTTATCTAAGGTTTTAGAGAAAGTGTTTATTGTTAGGGATGCTAATAGATTCCATAAATTCCAGGATGGTGTATGTTCTTGTGGAGACTATTGGTAATTTAGACTGTGACTTCTATTATATTACTGCCAAATGGAAGGACTTGTGGATGCTGTGGTAATGAGTTCTGTATACTCCTGCTTGAATGGATTTCATGATGATATCAAGTGCTAAGAGCACTGAATATGCAAAAATTGGAGTCACATGATTATTCATAATTGATCTGTAGGTCAAGGAAGATTATTTGCAGTTCACTTGCAATTTTGCCCAGACTGATGCTGTTCTGTTTGCATATAATCAGTGTCAATGAAGGCTTACCTTCCTTTCATCCACATATTTTGCAAGATAAGGAGCAGAACCTCAATATCTTCACTGTAAGAATCTGACTAAGGTATCATTGATGATGGTGCCAAAATAAAATAAAATAAAAATTAAAAAAAAAAAAAAAGTATATATATATATCATTGGTGAAACTTGCAAGCCCGAGTTTATGCTGTTTTCAACTTCTCACATGTCATACTATACTAGTTATCATTTTTCAGCCTGTTAAATCATGCCTATATAGTTATATACATGAAATAATTGAAGTTGATACGAAAGGAATTAGCATATTGGCTCAGTTTTTGTGTAGCTATATCTTGTGTTATAAGAAACATATCCGTGATGCCTGTCTTGATCGAGGATGGAATATCTTAAGCACAGTAGTGTTAAATTATTTATCCTATGCTACTATGATCAATAAAACTGAAGAAGTACAACGAATGATGTGTTGTTGCCTTAATTTTAACCGGTCCTTTTCTGGATAAGTTCCTGTAATGTTACGCACATAGAGGCTCAGCTCTCTAGTAGATGTTGCATGTTGGTCTTCCTTTTAATCCCTGTTTTTATGAATTAGACAATAAGTGCTCTAAGTAAGTTATCTGCATATAACGTTCTCATACTCTGGTAAATATATTAAAAATGATTGTTTTACGACTATGCAGAAACTCTTTTCCTCATGATTATTCAACATTGAGCTTTAAGAAGCCACAGAGACTTGAACCAACTGGCGAGGGTATTCAATACTTAGTACGAGATGATGTCTCAATTGCTACAAGTTACTACATAGTACGAGTCTGCGAGAAGATGCCTTTAAACTTGTACGCTTCCTTGCTGGTAGTCAAGATGGGCTAATTCTATGATGATCTTGGTAAAGAAGCTCTTTTTTGCATGTAAGTTGCTCTTTTCAACTTTTGCTGTAATGGAAGATTTATACAACTATACGTTTGTACTGTATAGTACTTCCGAAGCATGTTAATTTATACAAAATTTTGAGCTCGCTTGAAAGCTCGGGATCGTGCTCGGACTCGCGTAAGTTAATTGAACTTGAACATGAACAAGGTAGTACTCGGCTCGGCTCGGCTCATTTACACCCCTAAGCAATAGGGCATAATGGCCGAAGATGGTCCAGCTCCATCTCAAAGTATAACTTTCTAAGAAGTTGTTTTAGGAAATACCCTTCATTCTTATACTTGGATAAAATAGAGGAGATCAATGATATTTTAATTGGATTACTATTTGTGCAAGAACATCAGATTGAGGAATGCCTTATCAAGTATGTTATAAAAGAGCTGCGATCCAAAGCTGATCTAGCCCAAGAAATAGCTGTAGCCAAGGAGGTATGTTCTGCTAGAGGGAATTTGGTTTTGCAAGATGATTATTTCCTTGCTTCTAAGTGCTTAAGCCCTTGGACTGTTGATGTTGATTATGACGAAAGTTTGTTGATTTGGCACCTGGCCACTGATATCTGCTACTGGACAACCAATGACAATGCTGCTGCCTGCTGCAGCATCAAGTGATCGTATGTTTAGCAAGACACTCTCTGATTACATGGCATATCTTTTACTAAGGCAGCAAACGTTGGTATCTGCAGTGGTGGGTATGTCAGAAACTCGTTTTGACCACACTTGTGCTGAGGCTAAAAAGTTCTTCAATAATAAGAGCATCAACGTCGGTTGGCTTGCAGATCCCTGGTGGAAGGCTAAGAAGTTTCTGTATGAGAAGTTATGTGGTCGGACCATGTCAGGGCAAGATGATGCTCCTTCTGATGGATTAGAAAATACATTTTTCAAGGAGTTTTGTAAGAAGGTGCTTGAAGTAAAAGCAGATGTTCAGCCGATAGTAGCCAAGGGTGATAAAAGCAAATCTGTGCTATTTGATGCATGTCGACTTGCTAAGCAATTGGAAATGTTTGGAGAAATTCAGTGGGAGGTGACCAGCAAAGTTTGGGTGGAGCTGCTTTGTTATGCTGCTCTCCGCTGCTCACCGAGATCTCATATTGCGCAACTAAGCAAAGGTGGGGAGCTCATAACATTAGTGTGGCTGTTTATGGCTCATCTTGTCTTAGGAGAGCGCTTCCTGCAAAATCGGGGGTTTGGGTGGACTAAACTTGTCATTCACAAATGATGCTAAATACTTTGTTTGAATTAGTTTCACATGCTTGGATTTCAATGAAGTCATACATTCTGTAATTGTAATCTAAACTTTCTGAAAAAGAATTGAACCACTCAATTTCTATTATTCCCTTTTTTTAGGTGCTACATTGGTTTCTTGACATGACTAGGCCCAGATTTTTCTTGTGGACCTCTACAACTAGTCCAAACTATTTTTAAAGCGATATTAGAGTAGATGCTCAAGGCTTTAGTGGCGGTATTTGGGTGTATCGAATGCACAAATCAGCATTCGTTGTCACTGTCAGAAAGTTATGAAGGGGTTATCAGTTATGTTATTTTATACAGGAGAAAAATGAGGAACCAGGCACGAAAGGGAGCAAAAAGTGTGAAAGGTGGGTTGACTTTGTAGATCCGAGATTTGTGGGGTATCCGATGAACTTCTTAAGACTATACCCTATAAGATTACTAGGATTGTTCATTTCTCACATACTCCCTCTCTTTCTTGTGTGATTAATTAACTGCATTATTTGCAAATATAAGATTATTGTGGAAGATGTATACTGAAGCTATGTAAGTCGTATTTGGTGAACTAGGTAGAGTTTTAGACATAGAGGTCGATGAGTTTGATAAGATTATGAGTATTATTACAACTCTGATAAACTGTTGGTTGCGTGAGCAAACATGTTGGACGGTGAGCTACCTAAAGAGGTGATCCATAGACTAAAGCGAGCAGCAAAACTTCTCATCGAATGTAAAGGTACACAGCCCATGCTTCTGTTTCTTGTTTTTTTTTTCCATGAATGAGCACATTTGCTTTCATTGTAGATTGTAGACAACGAAGTATGATGTGAACTTTGATCTTGGTTAATCTCTGTTTATTACACTTGCTTATTACTATTTTATCATATATTGATGTTCTTTTCTTTTCATAGGATTACACACTGAAGTACAACTTGCAATTTTTTATTTTTTTTTTATTTTTTTTTTAATAATATAGGAGATAATGTTATAACTCACTCAAGAACGCAAGCTATGGATCTTCTCCAAGACATACCTTTGATTTTAACAAAAGATATAGTAGAACCCCAATTAAATAGGGAGTTAGAGATGATACTGAGACCAAAGGAAGTAGAGGAGATTGCAAGGTGGTTGTTGGTAGACTCAAATTCACCTGTGTCAGTTTTTCCTATTGTTGGAATTCCTGGCTCTGGCAAAACTTCTTTGGCGTACCTTCTTTATCACCACCACAGACTCAGAAGGCATTTCAACAGTAGAGGTTGGGTCCATTGGGAAGACATTTCTCAAGTCGCCGAACAAATTGATTTTGACCATAATTACTTGGTTGTATTAGAGGACTTTCCTGATGAGGATGGTGAGAAATGGTTTGATTTGTTAGAGCCCTTGTCGTCTGCTTTTTCCAAGTGTAAACCTGGAACAATAATAATAGTCACCTTCAGCTCTGCGTCTCTAGATCCTCGAGTCCTTTTTCAGCTCCCGCTGGCTAAAGGTGCGCCCTTTTCATTAAGAGCATCATTTCATCCAGAGAAATAGCAGAAGTGGACAGAAATCCCCATCTAAACGACACTGCTCTTAAAATTTTTAACAAGTGTTCCAATAATCTCCGCGTCATAAGAATTGTAGCCTATATTCTTTCTTTTCAACCTCCTTCCAAATGGAAGTACTTCAATGAAGATGTGTTCAACATACAAAATCCTGCAAAACATATTTTACCAATTTTTGATGTAATACAACAAATCCAACATTTGCAATTGATTTCGCTGTTTCCACCTGATCATGAGTTTAACAAGGAAAAATTATACCAGCTTTGGGATGCTCAACAGAAGCTTACAGAGCCCTTTAAAGAATTGTTTGAGGCGCTTCTTGGCAACGAAATTTTATTCAAATGTTCCAAAAGAGATAGAAGTGGTGTCATAGTCTGCTTCAAGGTCCATCCTTTTGTGCATGAGGTGACAAAGCATTTCGCACGTAATCGATGCCTTATGGTAGAAAGTCCTTATTCCATATTTCGCAAAATAAGACATGTAAGCTTTACTGATGACTTGTTTTGGAGGTTTTCATCCAGGCAACTCAGGAATCTGGAGTCTCTTGACTCTCTCCTTGTGTTACCTAGAAAGTCGTGCAACATTTCTAGTGGTCATAAGCTCAGTATCCTGTTGGAATCTCATCTTATGAGCTTGCAAGCTTTAGATTTAGCCATTTTGGATTGTAGAAACTATCTGAATTCCATTGGGAGGCTAAAATACTTGAAGTACCTCAGACTTGGTTTCTCCTCTGATGCTCTTCCCGAGTGAATCACAAACCTCAAGTTCTTGCAAACTTTGGATCTTCAACACTCTAGGGTTCGGGAGCTACCAAAAGGCTTTCATAAATTGAGCCATTTGAAGCACTTGTATATTGGAGATGGATTGATTGATCTGCCGCCTAGGTTTGGGGAATTAACAGGACTACAAACTTTAGATATCTTCATTGTTGGAAATAATAATGGGTTGGATGCACTGGCTTGCTTCACTCATCTTGCTGGAAAGCTAATGGTTCGATATCAGAATGGTCGTGAGGTGCATGTATTACCAGAGGATACAACATTTTTAAAGGACAAGAAGCTTCATGAGCTCTCATTAGAATGGTCATATTCAAATGCAGAACCATCAGAAGAGAAATACGAAAAGGAAGATGACATGGAGTTAGAATTATTGCAGCCTTCTTCCACCCTCAAATTCCTAACAGTAAGGAACTGGAAGGGAGATAGGTTTCCATACATATAGCTGATTGCACTCAATGCATTCATCTTCCATCCTTCAGTAAAATTGGCTGTCTTAAGTCTCTTGAGCTGTGGGGGCTTATTGCCTTGGAGTGGATAGAAAATTATGATAATGACAGTATGGTTTCATCTGAAACACCATTCTTCCCCTCCTTAGAGCATCTGAGTTTGGTTAATTTACCACAACTAAAAGGATGGTCAAGAGTTATAGAGCACAATGCTGATTACGAACAAGAGAAACAAAGGAATCTCCCTCGACTTAATGATCTCAGACTAAGCGGTTGCCCAGAGTTGATCTTAATGCCTGATATGCCAACTCTTCATTCATTGGAGATAAGCAACTGCCACAAGGATCTCCTGCAACACTTTCTCAGTGTCCAAGCATCAACAGCGGTATCATCATCATCATCAGCTTCAGCAGTAGTTCCGGTACTTCAGAATCTCTGCTCTTTGACAGTGTCAAATATGTCAATAGAAGAACCCCTGCTAATGGGCCTTAAGTGCCTCACAACACTTGAGGAACTCTCTCTCAGTTGGCTTTATAATCTCAGACTTCTACCAGAGTCGATTGGACATCTCATCCAGCTCCGTCAGCTTGCCATCAGATATTTGCCTAATTTATTGGATCTCCCTGAATCACTAGCAGGCCTCTCCGCTTTAGAACATTTGGAGATCCAATATTGTCCGAGATTGAAACAAGTTCCAGGCTATTTTTCTGAACTCGAGTCGAAAAACGGACTCCATATTAAGGAATGTGTGAACCTGGAGAAGATGTCAGCAACCTGATGGTAAAGTTTCTCCCTTTTGAATTGCTTATTATTTCAGTTGTCATTCTAAAATTAAATTGGCTATGAAACTTTTGTTTCTGATCCTCCCTCTGTCTCAGGACAACTATGGCAATCGGCATCATCAGTTTGTAAGCTATATCAAGGTTAGTTACTATTTTTGAATCTGTTGAATTATGCTTGCTTACAAAAGATAACTTCAACAGCAGATGCATATGGAAATTACATCACAGTTTGTTTGTAATTCTCTTCATTTAGACCTTTATTGTGTAAATTTTCACTGATATAACTTTATTTTTGGCAGTAATTAGAAAAACCTCACCTGATGAAAGAGTTTCTTATCTAATGTAGGATATGTTAAGAAGCACGAGATGTCGCTTTGGATGTGTGCGAGCAAGGAGTACATAATTGTTCCAGGACCAAGAAGAGAGAGCAACCGAGAGTTCAAGATTGAGAGGACAAGCTAAGGTAGATCATTTTTAAGTTCTCTGCCTCTCTGGTTCAAAGTTACTGAATACTTTGTACTGTTATTGCAGACTGAAAACAGATGATGCAGCTAGAGAAATCTGTAATTTATAGTAATTTGCTAATTCTAGTTATCTGTGAACCAATTGGAATAATGTTCTGTGATTTTTCATTATTAATCAATTACATTACATAATTCATCAGTAGTTTGGTTTCCTTAACACAATACGTATTGTGTTCCATAATTCGAGGCCAATGCCTGAACATATACTCCTTATATAATTTTTGATGCATCTATAATTCTATATATCCGACAGATTAGATATGTCAGCTGAATTACATTATGTTGTTTACAAGTGCATTTTAAGTGTAGACAATTTTGTTGATGCATGCCCTTGATGAGGAAGAGCTTTGCTTCCCATCTACAAACGATGATTGACGGTTGTCTAGTATGAACAATTCTACGTAGATGGGCGTGGGATCATTTTTGCATATCAAGTCCGCCAAAGCTGTCACTAGCAGTAGCAGTCCATTCCATACTCTAAAAAAACACACCAATATGAAGTATGACTTTACCCAAAAATAGAACAACTTTGTACCACTTCCTCTAGTGTAAAGCAAACTATTTTTGTTATTGTCAAAATAGCATTACACACATACAGCACAGTAGTTATCAATTACCAAATACTCAAAAAGTTGGTTTTTCTTCCTCCTTTTCAATCTTAAACGTTATATCAACTACCACATAGCTTTAATTTGCAACTATTAGAGAAGGACATTGTGGAGCATGTTCTCATTATTACAATAATTTGATTGGATGGGCTCCCTCCAATCGGATAACTACAAGTTAATCTCTGAGATACACAAAATTTGTTTATTACATTGCAATTTTGTAAATAAATAAACTACTTTTTCTTATTTTTTTAATTATTTGTTTTTCATACACTCCTCATGTAATTATCATTTTCATTAACCAATAAAATGCTTATTATCATCTTTATTTAACTCCCAGAAACATTTAAACACCATTGAAATTATAGCTTGCTTGCTGGTATAATGTAATCTCAGCTCAAAACGCGTACATGAATGTAAATAATGTCATCTTCATGAAACAACTATTGTCGCCTTGGTAATCCGCCTCGCCCATCATCTGCTAGCTAGTAGCTACCCTAGTCCCTAACAAGCGCACGAGCATGATCTCCTGGCTTGGACAAGATTTCAGCTTCTGATAACTGATAAAGAACTTCTCACAGAAAAGATTAAAAAAAATCCAGTAAAATGCTTAAGTAGTGACATTATTTTAGGTCATATATACAAGGAAAAAATAAAAAGCTAGGATAATTTTATATATTCATTACTTGTACCATCATTAAACCAATATTAACGTACCGTGGCCTTAGGCACCAGTAAGCAGTAGTATTCCATATACATTTGAAAAGTGTATTAGACTGAGAAATTTGGGCATATTATAAGCAAGAATAAGACAGCACAATGGCCTATCATATATGCATGTTAGTAGGGGTGGGACTTTTCAAACCGAACCGTGAAACCGCCCGTTACCGAACCGAACCATCACGGACCGATCCGTTTATAAACCGATAAATATAAACCGAAAACCGAACTGAACCGTTCAATATCAAACCGAAACCGAATTGAACCGCTCAATGTCAACCCGTTACGGACCGTAAACCGATAACAAACCAAACTGCGCAAATCCGAACCAAAACGAAACCGAACCGAATGGTTTATAAACCCGTTAATGACCCGAACCGTTTATAAACCGAAACCGTTTAAACCGAAAAAAAAAAACCGTTTAAACCGAACCATTTGTAACCCGCTAACCGTTTAAACCGACCCGTTTATGAACCGAAACCGTTTAAACCGCACGTATAAACCGAACCGTTATAATCCGCTAACCTGTTTAAACTGATCCGATTACAAACTGCTTAATTCAAATTGAATTATTTACAACCTAAATGGCTAAATAGTAAATACAATTAATGTTAATAAATGTAGATCTAATCAAACGGCTTAGGTTTATACAAAGGTTTATATTACCTAGATCTAGGCCAACGACATTATTAATATCGTTTTAGATTACTTATTTATTTTAATTACAAGATATATCATTTGTATCATTTTCATTCCAGTAATAATGCTAGTCCACCCAAATTATCTTCATTGTTCCTTGATATTCATGATCATCCAATATCACTCAAAGCCTCAAAGGTAACATAAGATTGGAGATGTATGAGATTGCGTTACACAAGTGGCATAAGCATTAGAATATTACTGTACTAGTCAATAAGGCGTACAATCATTCACATTATCACTTTATAAAACTTTCTTATACAAGTATTTTGTAAAGGGGAGGACTAAAATGTTTATAAAACACATTTTTTTAGCTTTTCTTAAATTAAACCAGATATTAAGTAAAAGAATTTTAATAAATACGGAGGCATCCCAAATCTGTAGCCACAATTATTTCATAACATTACCACAAATCCAGCAGATAAATAGCATTAAAATTAGAGTAATATCAACAAGCAATTAAAAAAAGTCATCATTTTCATTGATTAAAATTCACAATACATATACCAATACATAATGAAACTACTATCACTACTACCCAGATTAGATTTCATATTTATCAACTGAAATATCATCAAGTTTAGGGTTGCAAAAAATGATACATGATAAGATGAAGGGAGGAGTGAGAATGTGAGTGATTTGGGAGCAAAATCTTGAAGCAGAATCTTGAAGCAGCAGCACAGCACCCAAGAGCAGAGGAAATAGCAGCAACAAGCAGGAACCAGCACACGCAATAACAGATCAGCAACTTATCAGAAGCAAGGAATAATATAAGCAGAAGGGACTCAGCAGGAACTTATTTTTGTTTTTCAAAATTGCTCTCAGATTTACGTTTATCGTATCATCACTGAGCAATGGTTGTTTTAACTTAAAACTTGAAAAATGCTGCCAGCAAGTACATATACATTGAAGTCTCAACATAAATGACAAGGGCAACGATGATTCAAGAAAAATTAAAACAGAAAGCATAAGAAACAACAGAATAAGATTAGCAGAATGGGGACTTATTGAAGAAATTGTGTAGCTTCTAGATAATACAATTAAGCACCTAAGAGAAAACAAATATTGTAGTTAATTAGAGAAAATAAGTTAACTCAATGCAAATGCACATCTGTAGTGCTACAATAAGTAAAATGAACCAAATTAAGAAAACAGAAGTTGTTCCTTCAACAACAACAACACCAACAACAAAAAATAAAATAAAATTAATCCACTCTCAAAACAGCTAGCATCAATGTAAATGCCAAAACTAATTCTCATTCAACAACACATCACAACATTTACTGATTACTATGGCCACTCTTCATTAGCATCCTGCTCACAGCTGCCAAAATACTCCTCGTCCTTCTACCACCCCCCTAATTCCTTATTCAACAGAAATGTCAATATATTTCGATAAGAATTCTCTAAAAGACTAGAAAGCTGCACTAGCTAAGTGAAACAAACGTGTCTACTCATTTGAGGTGAACCAGAGTAATCCTTCTCCCCTTCAAACCAATTAATCACATGAATTATGTTCACACAGACAAAACCGTAACCCGTTAATCGCATAAAAATTGCAACCAAATCAACCAACACAACACAACACAACCATAATTCAATTCCCCTCCCTGTGAAAATCAAGATCTAGCGACTATACATTGCAAAACAACCAACATAACACAACCATAATACAAATACCAAATCTACAAAAAAAAAAAAAATACGTATCAAAAAAAAAATCACAAAATATACATTGCAAAACAAAAAATGAACAAAAGAACTAGAACTTTCAGAAAAAAAATCAGAAATTATAATTTACAAAATAATAAATGAAAAAACAGAACTTAGAAAAAATAATAGGAACTTAGAATGAGAATGAAAAATACAAATACCTTATATCGTCCGTGAGTAGAGAATATGAAAGATCTACAAAAAAAAAGAAAAAAAAAATTAAAATTAAAAAAAAAAGGCAGATAAACTCATAAACCAGAATAAATAGAACTTATAAAAAACCAGAAAAATACCAGAAAAATTCGAAGTTTGAGAATATCCAGAAAAAAGATCTACAATAAACCAGAAAAAACAGAACTTAGAACAAAAAATAGGAAATTAGAAGTTTTCAACAAAAAAAAAATCGGAACTTAGAATGAGAATGAAAAATACAAATACCTTATATTTCCGTGAGTAGAATATGAGTATATGACAGATCTACAAAAAAAAACAGAAATTAATCAATTCGGAATAAATGAACAAAAGAATTAGACCTTCCAAAAAAAAATCTAAAATTTTAAGACTAAATGAAAATATCAGATGAGGAAATGAGAGTTTCATAGGCGTGAGACCTGAGAATTTGAGAAAGCTTGAGAGATTCAGATGAAGAGGGAGATAGCTAGGGTTAGGAGGTTAGGAGAGAGAGAGATGTTTGAGAATATCAGATAGATGAGGAAATGACAAATGAGGCGTGTGTGCTAGTGAGTTTTCTCTAGGTTTAGTTTTAGGTTTTACTTCTTCTCCTAATCTAACCATACATTTTTAATCTCAGCATCTCACCGTTCATTTTTTTTTTTTGGTAGTAATAAAGTAATAAAGGTCTGGTACCAGAATGTTCATGCAACATGCCAGCTTTATCAATGGTCTTATTTTTTTTCGAGACTTTTTCCTTTTTTTATTAAAATATATTAATATATTATTTTTATTTTTATTTTTTTTTGAAAACTATTATTAATTATTTTATTATTTTGAGGTTACTATAATTATTATTATTATTATTATTATTATTATTATTATTATTATTATTATTATTATTATTAGTAGTATTATTATTGTTATTATTATTATTATTATTGTTAGAATGTTAGTATAATTTTATGTTAATATTCTTTTTATAAGTATTATTATTATTATTAATATTATTATCATCATCATTATTATTATTATTATTATTAATATTACAATATTACTTATAAATTGTAAGAAACACAAATGAAACAAAATTGAAATTAATTCAATATGACATAATTAATGACTTAATGACGTTAATGTACATCAATATCTAACATCTCTATGTATAAGTGTATAACTATATATATGAATATATCAGTGAGTCTGTGACTTTAAATATAATAAAATAATAACTTAATAAGTAATAAACTAATAACTAATAAGAGTATAAGACTAATAAAGTAATAAGTAATAAGTAATAAGTAATAAGTAGTAGCTAATAAAGTAATGAAATCTAACTGTTGTTTTTCATGGACATTCAATCTAACCGTTGTATATTTGACCATTTGACTATTTGACTATCTGTACATTAGTATTGCTCTTGCATAATGATTTCATCACCACTTTAGTGATTTCGTCATTTCGTCCATTTAACTTATCAAGTTGTTTGAATTAGTAATCTAAACAAAGTACCAAACTAAATAAATAATTCATTTAATCTCGTGTAAGTGTGTAACTTATAAATTATAAGAAATGCAAATGTTTGGAAATTGAAATTGATTCAATACGATATTGACATATTGTTAATGTATATGTATTATGTATATACTTATAAATTGTAAGAAACACAAATGAAACAAAATTGAATGAATTCAATATGACATAGCTAATGACTTAATGTACATCAATATCTAACATCTCTATGTATAACTATATATATGAATATATCTATGAGTCTGTGACTTTAAATGTAATAAACTAATAACTTAATAAGTAATAAGAGTATAAGAATAAGTCTAATAAAGTAATAAGTAATAACTAATAAAGTAATGAGTAGTAACTAATAAAGTAATGAAATCTAACTGTTGTTTTTCATGGGCATTCAATCTAACCGTTGATTATTTGACTAATTGTACATTAGTATTGCATAATGATTTCATCACTACTTTAGTCATTATGTCATTTCGTCCATTTAACTTATCAAGTTGTTTGAGTTAGTAATCTAAATAAAGTATCAAACTAAATAAATAATCCATTTAATCTCGTGTAAGTGTGTAACTTATAAATTATAAGATATGCAAATGTTTGGAAATTGAAATTGATTCAATACGATATTGTTAATGTATATGTATTATGTATATCATATGGTAGTATGGTATGAATGTACGATTGGTATCATAGTATCATTGGCTCATTGCCTCATTGAATCATTGGTATGTAAGTAATTAAGTATGTAACTATGTAACTATGTACGTATAATCGATAAACATATATGTTAAAACTTAAAAATTTAAAACATTTGTTGATCGATCTAATTGAGTACTTGTACTTCCTTAATTATCGATTTATTGTATTCTAAGTATCAACTCATTAAATCATGGTCATGACGCGATCTTTAAAACAATCATGATTCATGAATTCATGACCCAAACCGCTTATAAACCGAACCGGCATGATCCGAACCGTTTATAAACCGAACCGACATTGGACTGGGTAAACCCGCCCCTAAACCGGCCCATTTCAAACCGAACCGACATGATCCGTACCGTTTATAAACCGAACCAACAGTGACCAGGGTAAACCCGCCCCTAAACCGACCCGTTTCAAACCAAACCGGCATGATCCAAACTGTTTGTAAACCGAACCGTCATCAACCTGGGTAAACCCGCCCCCTAAACCGATCCGTTTCAAACTGAACCGGGGTGATCTGAATTGTTTATAAACCGACCCGCTTATGACCCAAACCGAATTTAAACCGTAAAGAAATCAACCGAAACCGAACCGACCCGTGACTAACCGAAACCGAACTGAACCGACCCGTCAGCTAAATCAAATCGTTTCAACCCGAACCGCTCCAAACCGAAACCGACTCACACCGAGGTCCAACCGAACCGCCAAACCAAAGTCCCACCCCTACATGTTAGTATGAGCAACAAAAATGTAATTATGCAGCAGCATTGCAACAACTAACGATCAACAACGACGACGAAAACAATCAAATTTAGAATCCTACCTTCGCTCATATGCTTTTTATGATTAAGAAATATTTACGTTGTACCAAAGGAAAAATGTCAAAAGAGGGAAATATAATAAAGCTCAATCTTATTTTGAACACTTATCAAACGAAACTGCATATATAGAGCATTGTAAGCCGTTTAGTTAAGGTCATATAAGTGGGGCAACTTCCAAACTCATACATAGTCATATCATATGTAAAACAGTTATATGCGACACTAATCATATTTTATTTTGAAAACCGACAACAAACAATCCTTAGCTTCTAATCGATAACTCGAAAGGACTGATAACGGACAAGCCTATAAGAATATCATCATCACATCAACAAAAATGATAAAATTTAATAGTAATAGTAGGAAACAAAGAGCAATTTAGAGGGAAGAGAGAGAAAGCTAGAAGAGAGGCAGGAACTGATGATGACAGAAGCACAGAGAGCACGAAGGAAAGTGAAGTGCAATAGCAGTAATAATAATAATGATAGCAAGCTAAGCTTTAAGTAGTACCCCAAATCCAAATATCCCAATGCACTTCATCCTCTGTGCTCTCTATCTTCTGTCAACAACTTCCCCCACCACTTTTTAATTTGCTCCCACTCTTTTACCCCCTTCTTACCCTACAACCCATCATATATATGTGCTTAATTAATTACCATTAATTTACGAGTACGACTACGACTGTACACTACAAGAATAGGTGCTTTTATTTATCAACCGATTATTTTATTATATAATTACTTAGAGAGGGGGATGTCAAAAAAAAAAGTTCAAAAAAAAAAATGTAAAATTGTGAGAGAAGAGAGATGGAAAGATGGAATTGTGTAGCCCTTGAAAGAGAGGGTACCCTATATTTATAGGACAAGAGGAAGATTGAAAGAATTTACCAAAATAGGAGTGGATACTATTACTTCTTCAAAAGGGTACTATCCCAAGTACCTTTACTAACTATTTGATTGAAAGCCGCCCCACAGAATTGTTCATTCAGTTTTTTTATTTTTTATTTTTTATTATTTTTTTATTTTCTTTCTGGGGTAAGTTGGTGCTGTTCTGCTGTGCTGCATCCATACCATATCTGTTTTAGAGTCCATTACCTGTCAACATTGTAGAGGTTTGATCGAGAGCGAGCTCGATCGTGTGGTTACGAGTGGTTGATCAAGTTTGTAAGTTGAGTAATTAGTGTGTAGAGGATAAAAACCCTGTAACTGAAGGGGTTGACTGATTCATTCATGGAAACCCCACTACAATATTTGCTCAACAGAATTTGTAACCACTTGCTAGGGTTGAGTGATTTGGGCATGTGACTCAGATTTTTTGGGACTTTTAATTGATCTTCATGCAGTTACTATGAATCAAGATACTATATAGTACCACAAGGACTGATGATTCTTAGGTAATACACAAGCACATTCAATTCACAGCTCTTGTCAAATTTAAAATACACCGAAACAAGGTACTACTCGTAACGATTGTGTAAGATCATTGCTAGTAAGGTGACTAAAAGAGGCAAGAACATTGTATTTGGACTATGATTAAGGGCACATGCAATTGACACTGCAACCATGTTAGTTACCAAACCATTTACTGTTAGACAATTAGCCGGGCTCTTGAGATAATGAGGAACAATTTAACATTATGATATAATAATTATTACAATAGACAAAAAAATTCCTACAAAACCTAAAGATGTGGTTTTTCAGCCGATGAGATGCTGTGTACAACTCTCAGTTGCAAAACTTTAATCTAAAGCTGCAAAAAACTATAGCGCATACATGAAATTTGCAACGAAAGTTACTAAAGTAGAAAATTGCATAACATGACTAAAGTTGAGTACGTTACAGTTGGAGAAATTTTTTAGCCTAGAAAAACTAGAGATGTGGCTTTCAGCCAAACAGAGAAAGGCCAAATACAACAATCGTAGCATATACACTGCAATCCATGAATAGTGAACCCGAGAGGTTCTTTAGCGTCAATCCCAGCTCTAACGCCCTCCCAGCATCTTCAGCCCAAGCATACCCATCACCTAAAAGTGATGTTCTATCTTTATCACCTCGTAACACATTCTTCCGATTATCAGGTAGTAGTCTCCGGACGATAAGTGTTATATTGGTTATCAAAACGAGAAAGAGTGGTCGAAATAACAAGATACCCCTAAATACCTTGCTGCCCACTATTGGAAATCCAGCGGATGACAGGACAACTAAGATTGCTATTGTTAGAGAACACAACAATCTATCATGCTCAGTCTCTGCTACAGCCGCACTTACTTGCTGTGATGTTACATTACTAATGGGGATCTGTTGAGCGACCCCTAGTGCTGCATCAATAAATTTCTGAACTCCGGAAGAAGCTTCTCTTTTGCTGCTATCTTCTGATGCGGTTGCTCTTAGGGGTTCAGTTACTGGCTCAGATTTTCTTAACAAGGGTTCTTCTTTGCTTCGACCACCTAATGCATCATCCTGATTGATGTTTGAAGATTGATCATGCATAAAGCATGAGGGTTTGTCTTCCTCAGTTCGAGAGACTGCAAAACCAATCAATGAGCAACCCGTTAATGAGAACTTTAATCCATAAAGAAAAACATAATAACCAAATGCTCAAAGCAGACAAATTATCTAATATTAAGAGAACCTTGGAACATTCAACATCATAGAAGCTTCAGTGAATAGAAGGAGCACCAAAAACAGTAACCACAAAGTCAATTAGTTTTTACTTATCAAGCAATGCTAGTCATAGGACTACTTGATACTAATATTGGCAACACAAGGACTTTGAAAGTTACTAGGCACCACACGCCACAGACATCATTATGCTTTCTCAGGTCCATTTTAAATATATATAACAGTATCACACTATATTCAGCCTAAACCAGAATATTAAATGAATAATATGTGCAGCTGTGCACTAATGTTTTCACAAGCCTTCATATTGCTCTGAATGGATACAGTAACATGATTAGATTTGGCCTTCTTCTGCTCCTACTTCTTCAACAAGTCAAACATACACTATAAAGGTCACCAACACAACAAAATTGAAAAGGCCAAACAACAATCAAAACAGCAAACATCTACAGTTGTCATAACTCATAAGGAGCTGTGGGGTTGAGACAGAACTCTTGCTTCTCCTATTGTAAATACAATGGTACTATAAACACACACAGACCACTGTTAAAGATTCAAGATAAGCGACACGGAAACAATCAGCTTACGCGTTACACCCCTTGAATCTTGCAAACTTATAGACATACAATTGCCTTTTATGGTGGCTTAAAATAAATCAAGAAGGTTGATCAGCTCAAATTCGACCTCCACAAGAGAATAATCTTAACTTCTTTCCCATAGACATCATTGCAAATATAAGGTCCACTTCTTTTTGCAAACATTCAACCACGCACTCACACCCTTTGATCCCATATTCGAGAGAGGTCAGAGAGATTATTGGAGAAGTATTTTTCCTTTTCCAGAAAAGCATCAATCTAAAGGTAGGTTCCTTTCAGAGCTCAATAGTCATTCCACTCAAATCAATAATTAGAGACAACAAAAAAGTGTGCTGCATTCCAAAGAAATTGAACCCCAAAGGATCATTAAAGATAATCTTGTCATTGGCTAGGGATTTATTTTCAAATGAAACTATAAAAGTCCACACACCCCATCACCCCCAGAAAGAGAGAGAATTACCATATCCCAATGACCCACACCACAGTGACAGCAAGTAGCTAACCATTTCATACCACTTTAGTAACATTCCGCAACAACCACAAATGCTGCTGTTTTCTTGACAAATATCAGCATCAAAATGACCTGGTTACTTGGCAGCCAACTTTGCAACCACTATCCTGAACAAATACCGACTAAGATTAACCCTAAAGAGTGTTGTTTTTAGCCTGTTCTGTCCCCACCCATCTGCAAGCCTGTCATCCACTCACCAATCTTACCAATTAGTCCATTATACAATAACAGTCCAATCTGATTTTTAATCTGACTTTCCAGGTCAAACTATCAAAAAACTATTGTATACTTCCTCCGTTTCTATTTAGTTGACGCGTTTGATTTAGGCACATATATTAAGGAGAGGAGAGAGAGTGGGAGAGAATGAAAAAGCAAGTGGGATAGCTTGTAAATGCAAGGTAAAAAATTTACCCCAAAAGGAAACCTGTCAACTAAAAAAAACTTCCTAAAAAAGAATACGTGTCAACTAAAAAGAAACGGAGGTAGTATATCTTTAATTCTTTATAAGTATATGGACATGTTTGGTAAATGGCTTTTAGGTGGCTTTTTGGTTAGCTTTTGGCTTTTGGCTTTTTTATGAGGTCAAACAGCCAAAAAAATATGTTTGGTAATTGGCTTTTTAGCCAGTGAAAAAGTTGGCTTTTAAGCCAAAATGAAAAAGCTGCTTTGAGTAGCTTTTTTGTTGGCTTTTGGCTTGTTGGCCCACAAATTATCTAATAAATAGCCAACTACCAACAATTAATTTACCAAACACTTTTATAAACAGCCAATTTTAAAAGCCATTATAAACAGCCAAACATACCAGTTGGTCAAACAAGCCAAGTCAACCAGCCAACAGCCAATTGCCAAACAAGGCCTATAACAAGTTTGAGATATTATCACTTCTAAAATACATCACTAATACTATACTCAAAACATGTTTTGGTAACACAAATTTTTAATAATAATAATCATTAATAATTGAAAGAACTTTTGGGTGAAAATCATGTCATGGACTCTAGGTTGGTTTCCTATTGTAATAGGGTATGGAGGAATTACAAAAGAGATTTCTTCTTAACATTTCAAAAAATTCCGATTTGAGTTGATTAGGATTTATTGGTTTGACACAAGCGATCTCCATTTAGCAGTCCATGAGTCAAGTAGGGTGCAAATGCAAGCATAAAACTCAAGAGCATACAACCCTTCGACTCTACGGACCCGGATTTCTTACCAATTTCATTTTTTCAATCATTGCTCGCCATATAATACATTATCAAATTTTTTGCTAAAACTAAAAGATTTGCTTAATAGATTCTATTACTAGTGTTAGTTCAAACATCAAGCCTGAAAATACAATAAGCATCTATGTACAGCTTTCTCATCTGTCTCGGTTTACCACATCAAAAATACCTCCTGCTTCATACTTAAAAATGGTTCTTTGCATTGTTGATACAGACAGGCAAAAGTCAGTGAGTGCCTGAGTAGTGAGAAGTTATCACACATGATACATAAAGGACTTAGCCTTATAAGAGGAGGCTACAAACATACCCCCGAATTAAATCTAATCAAGAAAAGTCGGTGAGTGCCTGAGTGATGAACTAGTGAAGTAATAACACATGTGTAAAGGGAGAACAGCTAATAAACTCTGCAATCATGGTACTGATCCATGCAGCTGTGTGCATCAACAAAATGCTAATGAAGATGTCGGCATAATCCAATTACATGTGCAAAAACAACAAAGAAAAAGAACCCTTAAGATCTGAAATATATAGGCCCTATTTTGATAAAGACGGGTCAGCCAAAGTTTTCAGGATTGCGGTAAAATGTCAGTCCACTAATACTATCATTTGGTAGTTTAGCTAATTGCAGGACATCCTTCTTTTCTTTTTTAACACAAGAAGATTATATTAAGGGGGCTGTAAATTATTAAAAACAAAAGTACAGCTAACTTTGTCAAAACTTATTGACTGAAGAACAATGAACAATGAATCATGTCAATGTTTTTACATCTCAGATTATACACTCAAGCAGCTATAACAGCTACATAATATATGCTATCAATTCACATTCACCAAACATCTTTATAAACAAATCAGCTCATCAAATTGGCTAAAGGAATTAACTGAAAGCTAATGAAATGAACTATCAGCTAGCCACTACCTACAAATTGCCAAAGAGGATCCAAATTCCCAAAGTAAATAGGGCCAACTAATTTGAGCTCAATTTTTGCATTTCAAACCCATACATCCATTCAGAGTACATCTCAATCCATCAACTACCAGCTAATGGAATGAACTACCAGCTAGCCACTACCCACAAATTGCCAAATAGGATCTAAATTCCTAGTAAATGAGCTCAACTTTTGCATTTCAAAATCATACAATCATTAAAATTACATCTAAATTCAAGCATTTGAGATTAAAACATATAGTTCCCCAAATCCACAAATCTCATCCACTAACAAAACTATATGCAGTATTATTTTTCCTGCCTCTTATGAAGACTAATCACAACAAAAGAGCCACATAAATGAGCTCAAACAATACATTAACAACACTTCAACACCACATTACATTTTTTAGCCACTGACCTCTTATGTGCACTCAATGATCTGGTAACAATCTTTAAAAAAAAATAACGATTTCATCCTTACGTCCCCCAGTCCCCACCTTGGACTAATGTCATAAACCCTGAAACACATACTCTCATAGTCTCATGTAAATCTATCACCCTTTCCAAAACCTTACCATTTGCTAGAAAATACTATGAATACCCTCTATATTTTTTGGTCCACAAAATAACAGAAATGGAAGAAATCATCTTTCATCCAATCCAAATAGATTACCCTTCGTCCAATGGCGTTCAAGAGACAATACCAATAAAAGCTCCATGTCTTCATCTTTTTATTCTCCAAAGCCGTACAACAGTTCCCAAACCACTATCCCTATTCTTCTAAAGGTGCCCAGTGCCCACTAGCTTAAAATCAGAATCCACAAAACTCTCATCTTTAATTGACTTTTTACGACTTTTTCTTCTGTTTCTCCTTGCTTCAAAATCCATAATTAGACCAATTTTTATGAACATTTCCCTACTAGCTCAAATTTGAACTGTAAAAATTCTAATAATCTAATAAAATCCCAATAAAAACTCCCTATTTATTCCCCATCATGCAAATCCGACCGTCAATTTAAAAATTAAAACTTCGAATCCCTAAAAAACAACTAAAAAAATTCCAAGTCTAGTTCAATTTCTCATTCACGCCTAAAATATCCAACAAGTTCATCAATGCTACATTTCAATTGCAAATAAATACAATATTCAAAACCCTAAATCATCTTAGCAAAACAAAATTGGATAACATAATCAATTGGATTTCCGACAATAATCGAATATAAGACGAATAAAAAAATCTCAGTAAATTAAGACGAAACTACCTGAAGGTTGATCAGAAGGAAGAACTGATTTGAGATCTTGATGATACTGTTGTTGAGGAACATACAGTTGGGATGAATCGGAATCGTTGGCATCAGATGAAAGACTAGGTTTACGACCTGTGATAAGAGCTAGACGATCTTGTCCTCCTTGTAAAATACGACGTCGTCTTGCTTCTCTTCCAGTACTTGCCATCACACTTTCTCTCTTAGCTTAGAGCTTTGTTTCTCTCTCTTCAATGGCGGATGAAATTGATTGTTGCAGAAGATTTCACTTGAAGAAGAAGATGATGGTGAATGTTTCTCACTTTCGAGTTGATTTTCGTAGCTTCGAAAATAGTTGCGAAATGAATTTCCTTTTGTTTTTTCCTTTTTTGTTTTTTTTATTTCGTTCCTAATTTGCCCCTTGTAAATTCAATAGGACGAGCAAAGGTATTTCACATTTTATACAATGTGTAGTAGGGATTTAATCTCATGGTACGATTACGAAAACAATAGTTCATAAAACACTAGCTTATGACTCGTGATTTCATGAGTACCACTTTCATAAAGCATGGTTATACATATACTTAGACTCGATATATCTAACGTATATTGATCTCAAGGCAATGTCCACTTAGACACAGGGGCGGATCTATTCATGTGCATGGGCAAAAAAAAAATTGTTTTTAAAAAAAAAAAAGAATCAAAGAGACCGCCTATTATGCTGCTATTGCTGCCATTAAGCCATGACTCATGAGGATATCGCTCCACCCATAATAGCTACAGGACTTTGAATACATGTTGGATGATACAACGAAGAAAAAAATAACAAGATCAAAAGAATAATGCATCACAATGTAGACTCGTGAGTACCACTTCTAGAAACAAGATTGTGTTAGCAAAATTAGGCCCGATATAATATTTTTTTTTTTTTTATTTCAATGCAATGTCCATTTAGACACCACGACATGGCTCTTGAGAAGATTAGTCCTACTATAGTTGCAACAAAACGTGGAATATGCATTGGATGAAACAAAGAAGAAGAAATAATTTGACTTGTTCGGAGGTTATAATAATACAACACGATCTCGACTAGAGATAGATTGATGTGTGAAGATGAGGAGAACTCAAAGTTTTGGCTTGTATCACAATCTCACACCCACTTTATCTCTCTCTAATGCGCTTTTATGAATATAGTGGTGGTAGGAAGACGAATAACCAAAAGGTAGACCCAATAGTTATCATTTGAATTGAATTAGATTGAGTTAGATATTTACTCAAGATTATGCCCAAATTGTTAATAAAAATACGAAAATTTTGTAAAAAGAAATCTAACTTTAAAAACACTACTAATCATCAACTTATAAAGCCATAACCAAAGCCCAAACAAATAGGCCCTAATCAATTATACATAGCACACTCAAGTTAATAAAAACATCCAACAAATCTTAATCTTTCCATGTGGGAGAATATTTCCACTCTAAAACTCACAAATTGAAGACTCTACATAGCATTAATTAGTTACGCTTTTAATTTACCCTTATGCGCTTTATGCCTTCATAGTAATGGTTGAGAGACAACTAAACAAAAGATAGACCTAAAAGCTATTATTTGGATTGGGTTGAGAAGTTATGTTGGGGAATTTGAGTGTAAACAAGGGTCACAAAAATAGCAAACAAATTAGAACGGAAAACTTCGAGGCGTGAACGAAATCACTTTCCCAAAAGTATAATTCCGACCCTATACTACAACCGGGTTTCACGGAAAATTACTTAGGAGATACAACGAAGAAACAATTGCAATCACAAGTAGGATGATTACAATTCAATGTATATAAGCCTTTGGATTTATGATGATGATAATAAATTGCAAAGAGGTTTTTCAAGAAAAATAAACTTCTGATTTTTCTTAAGTATATATCTTTCAACATATGTTTTAAAACATATATATATTAAAGCAAACTTCAGCCAAGAGACACAAAATAACTGACGAAACTTGAAGCAAATAAAATTGACAAAACCGTCAGTCTCATCCTTCTCTCTGACACGCGCCCAATTAGGCCCGTTGTCGCCCGATCGGGCGGAATTCATCGTCAACTTCAAGTGTCTTCTCGCGCCCGATGGGCGGTGGTGGCCCGATCGGGCGGCTCCCCCAAATTCCAGAAAATATTTTCCGTCAATTTTGTTCCCTTCACGCGCCCGATAGGGCGGCTGCTGCCCAATCGGGCGGCGAAGAATATGTTTTCCAGATCACCCTCGCGCCCGATCGGGCGAGCACCACCACGATCGGGCGGCTGACCGGGCGAACATCAAGGGCAACAGCTTCACTTACTCATTTTCGTGAGTTCTTGATATTCTTTCTATACAATGCTTTAATAATCTTTCCTAATTAAATTACAACACCATAACCTAAGTAATTTAATTATTTACTTGAAATTTGTCTCCAATTCTCAAAATTATTCAACAATCCTCCCCCATTTTGAGAATTAAACTAGACACATTGCAAAACATCATCATCACAAAACAATCTTATGCATAAATGAAAGTGTACATAGACTTGAACTCCCACTTAGTGCAATATACAATTCAAGAATCCGTATCAATTTGGTATTGTAAAACGTTTGAACCAAAACAACACATTTGGAAACTCGAAGATATTACACACACAAGATTAATTACTTAAATACATATTAGCTTGACACTAAAAGCCATGTGTCCATATCTATTCATAAGTACATCAAAGCTACAACCCTAATAGCTTCTTGAAGCGGCTAAACCTCGTACTTATATAGGTAGAGTTCCAACATGCTCCTGTGACAAAGCACTTTTATCAGGAATTCTATTAAGTTTAAAACAACCTCTTCTCATCACAGAAAAACCGGAACTTTACCTTGGATGAATAAACAAGTTCCCAATCATCAATTAAGAGAATTAATCTCATTGAACTTAAGACCCAACGTCTTATTGGGCGTTAAGTTGAGATTCTCCTAATTGTGATTATTTAGGGTTCCAATCCTAAACCGATTGTCATCCTACTGTTAACATCTCTAGCCAATGCCTTTGTAAAACATTCGGCGAGATTAAGATCCGTTCGAACATAATCAACAGTGATCACACTATCCTTGATAAGTCCTTGGATGTAACTATGCCATACTCCAATGTGCCTTGACTTACCATTATAAACTTGGCTATAAGCCCTTGCCAAGGTAGCATTGTTATCAAAATGTATCACTATTGGTGATATCGGTTTTGGCAACAAAGGAATCTCAAACATGAGATCCTTCAACCATTCGGCTTCTTTACCAGCCGAATGCAAAGCAATGAACTCCGATGTCATTTTGGAGTCCGCAATGCAAGTTTGTTTCTTTGAAGCCCATGAAATGTCACCTCCCCCATATCGGAAAACCCATCCACTTGTGGAGGAATGATCTTTGTTAGAGATCCAACTTGCATCCGAATACCCTTCTATAACCGAAGGATATCCACCATAAGACAAACCAAATTCCTTGGTTTTCTTCAAGTACTTCAACAAGCGTCGAACCGCTTGCCAATGTTGCATACTAGGCTTTCTAGTGTACCTGCTCATTTGACCAACTGCATAAGCAATATCAGGTCTAGTACTTGTCATGGCATACATCAAACAACTTATTACTTTAGCATATTCAAGTTGTGAAACCGCATAACCTTCATTAGGTATCAACTTTATGCTAGGATCCATAGGTGTTGAATAAAGAGAAGTAGAGTCTTCTCTCACATTGAATTTCTTGAGCACTTTCTCAATGTAATGAGATTGTGACAAGATCAACTTTTCTTTTTCCCTCTTTATCCTTATGCCCAAGATGACATCCGCTTCCCCCATGTCTTTCATGGAAAACTTTGAACTAAGTAATGACTTTGTCTTTTAAACTTGTGACAAATCAGTTCCAAAGATCAACATGTCATCTACATATAGACAAATTATGACACCTTGGCCATTGTCATCAAATTTGCTATAAATACACTTGTCTGAATTGTTCAACTTAAAACCATTAGACAACACAACCTCATCAAATTTTTGATGCCATTGCTTAGGTGCTTGCTTTAGCCCATATAAAGATTTAATCAACTTGCAAACCTTTTCTTCCTGACCTTCCACAACAAACCCTTCCGGTTGTCGCATGTAAACTTCTTCCTCCAGATCTCCATTCAAGAATGTTGTCTTGACATCCATTTGATGGATCACAAGATTGTGAATAGCCGCTAGTGCTATCAACAATCTTATAGTTGAGATTCTAGCAACAGTTGCATATGTATCGAAATAATCGATACCAGGTTTTTGTGTAAAACCTTGTGCCACTAACCGGGCTTTGAACTTTTCAACCGTTCCATCAATCCTCAATTTTCTTTTGAAGATCCATTTGCACCCAATTGGTTTACATTTTGGTGGTAAAGTAGCTAAAACCCAAGTATTGTTTCCCATGATGGATTCCATCTCATCATTAATAGCTTCCTTCCAAAATGGAGCATCACGAGACCTCATAGCCTCGTCATAGGTCAAAGGATCATTTTCTACATTAAATATGTATGGAAATTGTGTTGAAACAGATTCCCTTTATCCTTCAACTAAATACACATGAAAGTCCGGGCCAAAAGATTTTTCTTTCCTTGCCCTCTTACTTCTCCTAGGTTGTGATGATGATGTAGATGCCTCCTCTAATAAATGAGTTTGGTCATCCACCTCTTTATCAATGACAATTTGATCAATACTTTGAGCATTGGCATTTGGAGTTATATCCTTTGGTCTAGGAATTGAAGAAAATCGATTTTCATCAAACAATGCATCCCTTGACTCAATGTTGGTGTGAACCGACCAAAAGTCATTTTGTTCTATTACATAGAACCTATAGGATTTGCTATGATCCGCATATCCTATAAAAATGCATTCAACTCCTCTTTCACCTAACTTTTTACGTTTAGGTTCCGGCACTTTTACAATTGCCCTACAACCCCAAACTTTGAGATGACTCAAGTTTGGTTTCCTTTTATACCATAGCTCATATGGGGTTACATCTTTCCCTTTCATGGGAACACGATTTAACACATAACAAGCCGTTAAAACGGCTGATGTGTCTATTTTATATAGTATTTTACCCCCATCCCTCGGTCATAATTAGTAGTGTTTTTGGCTCTTTAGAGCCACTTTTATTACTAATTAGTGTTTTCCAGTGTTTTCGTAGATTTGGTTGACTTTTGCAGGGATTTATGCTTTTGGAGTATTTTCCCGAGATATTTTGGAGCAATCACGAGCATTGGAGAAACACGACCAGATTTCATAGCTCAGGGGTGGTTAGAGCCATTGAACCGGTGATTTAGGGCTTGGTATAGGTGATACCGGGGCATTTGGAACGAGTATTCAAGACCCAAAGAGGAAACCCAGATTGGCCCGAAGAATTGGAGCCCAATCGAAGTCCAAATATTGGCCCAAATGAGCCGCCCGGCCAAAAAGGTTGGCGCCCGGAGGTGCGCCCGGCCGGGCGGGAGAAGCTTGGTCTGGCGCCCGGTGACGCGCCCGGCCGGGCGCGAGATTAGTGTTAGAGTCAAAAAGGCGCGCCCGATCGGGCGCGTTTATTTTTAGGAGACGATTAGCGTCGTTTTAATTTGTTTTAGTTTAGAATTTTTGTACGGAGTATAAATACTCCTACGTAATACGATTTTAGGATCTCTACCTCTTCTTCCTCTCTTAATCTCTTCTTTCTTAGACTTTCTCTCTCTACTTAGTTCTCTTTCTCTTAATCTCTCTCTAAACTT